TAACCTGTCAAAATGTTCAGCAGTGTTGCTTTCTGCAAATCATTTAGGGAATATTTAGTGCAATTCTTCTACCACGCGTCTGAAGACTCGATCTCATTTTTTCTTGTAGCGTTGTATCGTGTCGTGTCCGCCATTTTCTGTTCAAGTATATTCTGATTGTGCGTTTTAATTCATTTTTTGTTTGCAGTTATGCCTTTCCATTTCGTTCTTTATGATTCTTTCATTTATTTCATTTAATTTTATATTGTTCTTTCCTCTGCGGTTACTATTTTGGTGCTCTCAATCGATTCGCTTGTGCACGTTTCTTCTTAAGTAAGGCTTATTATTATTTTTGTTACATTAACATGTTTTATTATAATTCGTTCTGTTTCTTTTCATTTATATTTCTTACTGCGCTTTTTGAAATTAACAAATTTACTTCTTCATTAGGTTTATTTTATTTGAGGGTTATTATCTCACTTTCTATATTAAGGTCTAGCTTAGGTTCCACTTTCTTTACCTTCTTTTCACATTTAGGTCTAGCTGCTTCCATATTATTTTGCTACTTTTTACATTTAGGTCTAGCTTAGTACTTTTTACATTTAGGTTCGTTACTAGCTTAGCTTCCATATTATTTAGGTACTTTTAACATTTAGTTCTAGCTTAGGTTTCATATTATTTAAGTCATTTTTACATTTAGGTTCGTTACTACCTTAGCCATATTATTTAGGTATTTTTAACATTTAGGTCTAGCTTAGGTTCCATATTATTTAAATACTTTTTACCTTAGGTTCCATATTATTTAGGTACTTTTAACATTTAGGTCTAGCTTAGGTTCCATATTATTTCAGTAGTTTTTACATTTAGGTTCGTTAATAGCTTAGCTTCCATATTATTTAGGTACTTTTTACTTACGTTTACATTACTTTCTATTTCATTCTCTAGCCTTTAGTTCATACTCATTTCACAATTTATACAATTTAGTCACTTTGCTCCTTATTCTCGATATCTATTTTATTTGTAATTTATCCAATAAACCAACATGGACTTTGTTTGTAGTGAATGCAAAACCACGTTTACAGCTCGTAGCTCTTTATATCGACACTTCAGGAGACAGCATGACAAAGAGCAATTCGTGTCAATTTTGTTATAAAACCTTTAAAACCATATATACTATATCGATATGTATGCCAAGTGCATTGTAATATCCCTGCATTGTAATATCTAATGTTTTCTATAACATAGGTCAAATTGTAAATAATATAATGTGTATATATTTCATTTTTAATAAAAATGTTTATCCGAAAAGATGTTGTTCTTTAACTATGTTTGGTATTGTCATGGCAATATTGTTAAAATTTGTATGAGATACACCTCATTATTTTAGAACATTCTAAATATCATTATATTTATATACAATTACTATAAATGCGATATATGAATAATATATATATATTGAAATATGTGAGTTGAGTGTTGATATATAATTCGATAAAACGAAAGACTGAAAATATCAAAATTTAATACATATCATATGTTTGACTTCATTTTATTATATGATTATAAATATATACACAAAATATAAATAAGTTGTGTTCTAATGAACAGAGCTTACATCAAGAACTTTGATGTTCATTTAATATCTAAGCGTGTAAATTCCTGGCCTTAATTCCATGAGAAATGTAAATAAAACTGACAATAAAGTTAAAACATAGAAAATAGTGTGAGTAACTACAATAACTAATCTAAAACACTCTTTAATGTCCTAATCAAACAAAATTTATCGTTTTTCGTAATAATATTCGCTAACAAAGAACATTTCACTGTGAAAGCAATTCTTTCATGGAGGTTATATGTGTTATTTTGACGTTTCATTTGCGAATGACAGTTCGGGTGTATTACACAGTGTCTTTTGTCTCTGAATGTTGGTAAGTCGTTTTTTTTTTTGACGTTTGTTGGGTGTCTCAGTACATGGCATATTTTTTGGGTTTTAACGGGGTGTGAACCAAAATACCGGGAGAGAGAAACGTCTATATTATTATATTGTCTAGGACCTAACCAATACTGTTCCTAGGTTAAAGATACTATTAAAACTGTCAGGCCATAGATAAAATAGCGGAGAAGAGCTGCCAGCGTTTATTCTCATTGACATATGGTTTCTTCGTGTGTACACATATCGTGGGATGGCGCTCGCTCCAATATTGTGTAGCGACCTGGCAACCCACATCGAACCTCAATTTGACAGTTAAACATTATCTTTGGCTCATCATGTTGGCAATACTACGCGAGAACCAAAGTGCAAGCTTTAGGGTCGGAACTCTCTCTTCCGTCTGCTGCCGAACAGTCAACATCATAAATTACAATACTTTCCTTTTCATTTTCAATACTCAAATATTTATGTACATTTTATAAATAATAAATTTAATCGCACATAGTGTTGTTACTATTTCATTATAAATAAAATATATTATATATAGACCACAGTTTCTATAATTGGTGACCCCAAAAGTGAATAAAAACACGCATAAAGTGAGAAGGAAGTGAAACATGTGCATAATTTACAAGTGAGCAAGAAATACAGAACGTTCTAGTACCTACAATGGAGACTCCGACCACGCACATTGAGATCAACAACAACACGTGCTCAATAAATCACTCATTAACCTGGAAAATGAGTCGATTTTAAGCACCACGGCAGCGGACAGGGAGCACCAAGCAAACATGGCAAACGCCATACAACACGGCCACAATCAAGCGAACAACGCACCAAGCAAACATGGCAGCAACCGCCATACAAAACGGCCACAAGCAAACAAACAATGCTCCAAGCAAACATGGCAAACGCCATACAACACGGCCACAATCAAGCGAACAACGCACCAAGCAAACATGGCAGCAATCGCCATACAATACGGCCACAAGCAAGCGAACAACGCACCAAGCAAACATGGCAGCAACCGCCATACAAAACGGCCACGGCCACAAGCAAGCAAACGATGCACCAAACAACATGGCGACCGCCAGCAAAAACGGCCACGGCCACAAACAAACAAAAATTAATCAAACAAAAACTTAAAAAAAAAAAACTCAAAAAAAAAATTTACAAGAAAATTCAAGATGGCAGCCCGAAGTTCAAGATAAACTTTTCGCCGGGGGGGAGTGATCTGTAGCGACCTGGCAACCCACATCGCACCACAATTTGACAGTTAAACATTATCTCTGGTTCATCATGTTGGCAACACTGCGCGAGAACCAAAGTGCAAGCTTTAGGGTCGGAACTCTCTCTTCCGTCTGCTGCCGAACAGTCAACATCATAAATTACAATACTTTCCTTTTCATTTTCAATACTCAAATATTATGTACATTTTATAAATAATAAATTTAATCGCACATAGTGTTGTTACTATTTCATTATAAATAAAATATATTATATATAGACCACAGTTTCTATAATTGAACAAAGACCAAAAACCAAACCGTTGTGGATCGCGACTTCCCAAACTTTGATGGAGTTTTATATTCAAAACACTTTTCAAGGTTAAAACATTTTAGAATAATCTTTAAAACCGTGAATAATCAAACAAAGTTCAAAAATGTAATCAGCACGGTTCGAAACTGATATCATTCGAATAGTTTTTGAACTATCAAAATCGGTTCAGGATTTTTGGCTAAAACGTGGAAGTAAAATTTTGTATTTATCTGTTAATTGTAAAAGAACGACTCGGTTCATGACCATTTTAGGCATGTACTTATACACACGCCTATAAATACCTTTTTCAATTTTTGTATCCAATGATGACTTGAAGAATGACTTAAAACGTAAAAAAAATATAAAAGTTTCAAATCGGATTTTCTGACAAAAACAAAGTTCTCGTGTTTTCCTTCAGCAAATTATATAATTATTTGTTAAAAAAGAAAAATGATGGCTTAAGTTTATGAAAATAAAGTTATATATATATATATATATATATATTATATATGTATATATATATATATTAGGGTGGTCCTTAATATGGACATTTTCGAATTTCCTTGCTCCCAAGGGCTCAAATGGTTCCAAATTGATAAAAAACAATTCTCTCAAAGTTTTAGCTCTTAATATTGTATTTTAGATAGTGCGCAATTCAATCAAAGTTTTGTATGGAAAAAGCATGAAAAAATTTTCAAAAATTTTAAAAATATTTTTAGATAAAATTTAACAAACAAATGGATAAGTTTTATTCAAAATTTGTTGCTAAGTTATACCTAAAATTTTTTTTTAATTTTCAAAATGTTTTCCATGCTATTTCCATATGAAGTTTGATTGAATTGCGCACTATCTAAAAGTTAATATTAAGAGCAAAAACTTTCAGAGAATTGTTAAGATTTGGTAAGATTTAAGCAAACAATATGTTTAAGGAAAGCAGAAGATGGTAGATTTTTTATATAAAATAAATAAAATTGTGGGAAAAATAATGTATAGAAAATACATACATAAAAATGATAAAAATAAATGAGTGGATTATATAACTAAATATTAAAAATGTTAAAAATTAGAAAGTTTTAGAAAGTTTTAAGAAAAGGTTACTAAAAAAAAACGAATTAATTACCTTTATGATTGATTGTACACTAACACTTTTTCACTAAAAAAGATTTTATCAAAAAAGTTATTCTTTTCAGACGAAGAAACAAATTTTGTAATTCAAAATTTCTTTGAATTATGTCTTTTTTGAGTTTGCTATGTAAAATTTGTAATGTCATGAATATTTTATAGTTTGGAAAAGTATTAAGAACTCGTCATCTTGCTGCCTTAGACAAAGTTGTCAGACAAAGAGCGAGTCCCACAGTTTCGAAAACACTGAGTAACAAGTTATATCCATTGAGAATTCTCTTGTTGGCAATCTGCATCTTCAATCTACAAATTTCAACATTTGACAGTTTTCAACATTTTGTAATGTAGAAAGTAAACAAAAATGACATAAATAATAGATAATAACGTTGATATGTAAATAATTTGAAAGTTTAAATTTATTGACAAGATATTCTGGATTTTCAATAGTCATAACAATAATCATTAAATTGAAATTTAAACACAAGTTGTACTAACCCGTAATTTTGTTGATTAACCTATAGTTTATAGTTAGAACTGTAATTGAACGTGTTGCTTGTAATTACGATTAAAAATTAAAAGCAATTAAAATGAACGACTTTGTCGACAGTCATGTCGAGAGCATGATTACGGAAATGAAACTGATGCTACGATATAATCTTTTTACTAAGGATGAAGTTGAGTTGCTGATTAGAAGACGCAAAAATTTTGAAAATCAATTAAAAAAGCATACTAAATCTAAAACTGACTATGTGAATCTCATAACTTTGGAAACAAATCTTTTTCGAGAACTCAAAAAACGACGAGAGCAATACAATATGAAGAAAGACGTAGACAAAATTGATTTTCCTTTAGCACGACATATAGATAGCTTGTACAAAAATGCACTCAATTCTTTTGCCAGTGATGTTTATTTATGGACATCATACATTCAATTTTGTACAACTGCTGGATTTAATGATTCAATTTCTAAAGCATTTGGTAAAATGTTACAAATACATTCTGGTAAACCTCAGCTATGGCTTATGGCAGCTAAGTGGGAAAAAGAGAAAAATAGATCATTGGAAAATGCCCTTGCTTATTTAGTTCGGGGTTTAGTACATCACACAAATGACGTTCTGTTGCATACTGAAGCTTTTAATATATCGCTATTACAAGCACGAGATAAAAATGTACCAGACATTACTCAAGCTGAAATAACATACGATTCAGCTTTGAAAAATGTAAAGGATGTTCATTTTCTTATAGGTTTGCTTAAAATTTGTGAGCGCTATAATTTTGTTGAGAATTTGGAGAAAAAGATAATTAATGATTTAAAAGCCATGTTTCCTAAAGATGAAATTGTTTTTCATACTATTGCACAAAAAGCTCTACTCAATAGAAATTCAAATCAATTAAACTCTACCGAAAGATTTGAATTATGCATTTCTATGTACAAAGATGCAGTTAAAGAGTTACCTACAGAAAAAATGTGGTGTTATTATATTGATACCCTAATAGAGTTAAATGAAGATAAAGACATATTTATAGTAGATGAGAGAAAGGCTTTAGAAATAGCACTGGAAGATGGTTATAAAGCAAATATGTTAAGTGTAAGGCATTACCTACAATGGTTTGATATTCTAAGTTCCCAAATTGGCAACGAAGAAAAAATATTAAAAATTATGAATGAAGTAACTTCCAAAAATGAAGACTCTTTAGATCTCTGGAAGGCTTCTTTACGATTTCATATAAAACACAGTGACTCTGCAATGGTTAAACAAGTTTTTGACCAAGCAGTCGCAGCACTAGGAGAAAATTCTTTAGCAATTTGGAAAATAATGATAATGTATTATTTAATAGACCTGGACTGTAATGATAAATTGAGAATTCTATACATAGAGGCTTTGAAACAGCCAGCAGCAATTTCAGAGTTTATAAAACCTAGATATTTAGAATGGTTAACTGTAACCAGAAATATAGTTTGGGCTCGAAATGCATATAGAGCAATGGCCACACTACCTCCCTTTTGCTTGGAGTTGCATAGAAAAATGGCATTTTTAGAATCTTTGCAGTCTGAGCCTGATTTCAAAAATTGGAGAGATAGTTATTCAAATGCTGCATATTTGTTTGGCAAAAATAATAAAGATGTTTGGATAGATTTTATTAAGTTTGAGATGGAGCATGGCGATGCTTCACAAATACCTCAAATCTGTGAAAAGGCCAAAGAAAATTTGAACCCTGCATTGTTAGATATATTCCAATTAGACTTTAATAAAATGGCATGCTCGAAATTAGAGAATGAGAAATAGAAACTTTAACAATTTTATTTTCCAAAATACATACATATATGTATGTATATATATGTGTGTAATTTGAAATAAATTAAACATTATTTGTAATATATATATATATATATATATATATATATTTGTTTAGGTTATTTAACTTTGATGTTAATATATATATATATAAATACAGAACACTTATTGACTTAAACCTTTTCTTATTTTTTGCATGAATCTGGAATCTTTGAAATAAAATAGAAAATGTGGCGCAATCAGATCTTTTATATTGAATATAAAAGATCTGATTGTGCCACATTTTCTATTTTATTTCAAAGGAAGAACGAGTATTTATAATGCTTATTACAAAAAATATATTACTTTTCAACATACTTTACAGTGAAACCATCTAAAATAAACCATCAAAGAGTTTAAACATCAAGCATTACATCAGAAAAAATGTATAATTGATATCCATACTGATAGAATACCATAAAATAAAAATACCCTAAAAAAGTATTTGATATGTATGTTGAATTTAGGGGGGAAAAAAGCTAATCCAAAATACCTACAATTTGCTGTCCTTATATTAAAAATAATAACAGTATTACTATAAGGTATTAGAATGTGCGTACAATTATTTGACATCACATTTATGATTATCACAAAAACAAAAATAACCATGAAAAATAATAAGATATTGCACTTCTGTTTCAAGTCTATAATAATAATGACACTTTTTTTAAAACTTAAAATACAGTGTCATGATAGATATCATGGTCTTATAGACCATACTGAGATATTACGGTCTTACGACAAGTCGTTTATTTTAAAAACTCATCATCAAAGTTTGAAAAAATATCAGTCAAAATTTGTGTCATAAGTTGCTTTTGTGATGTGATGAGTCAAACATTATCAATTCATTAGAATGTGGAATAACTACAATTTCTGTGCAATATAATTATTAATATATTTGCAGATAATTTAAATGTGTTTGAAAAAATTCTATTGGAAATCGAAATGTTTAGATTTAAGTGAGAGCAATTTATTTTCGAAATAAACAAGTAAGAAATTTATCTAAATATCTAAATCCCAATTTCGATTGATTGCAGAAAATTTAGTTTGCAATCCCAGTTTGTAATCTATATTTCTTCTTTTTTTCTAATTCTCAAGTTTTCTAATGTATAAAATAAATTAAATGTATAAAATGATTATAATAAAAATGCTCATAAAATTATTTAAGCATTCGCGCGGTTTTCGGCCAAATAAAGAGTAACCGAATAATCGTTGCGACTCCAGACATAAAACTTGAATGAAACATATAGTGAGTTTGTAATTTAACAATCTTCAATAGAGTTGCATTGAAAAGAACGAGTGTAGGCGTTAAAAACCTGCCAAATAGTTACCGAATATTCCGTATTTTGCGGATATACTATTCGTTGCAAGCCTATATTATTTAAATGAACATTTATAAGTATTTTATTTAAGTTTTGTCACAAAATATTATGACACTGAATGCGCCAAAAAATATTTACACACATACATAATAAGTAAAAACTTTTATATTTTTTACCTTTTCCACCCAGTACGAGCATATCTTTTGAGAATTCTGATTAATGAGCTCTTGAATAGATATTTTAGTTTATTGTTAAAAATGTTTTTGCAACATGATTATTGATCGATGATTAATGATTAATACATAAAATAAAAAGATACAAATGATTTTCAATTAACAAACAATATATTTCACAATGAAATTAATGTTATGAAAAAATAATTTGTAAAAAATTGAACAATAAAATGATATTAAATTCAATTATATAACTATCGTCATTGTATTATTACCAAATGTATGCATATAATTGTTTAACAGTTACAGTATCAATTACAATTCTAACCCATACTCAAAATCATCAATTCATAGTGTAACCAAATTAGCAATGCACTTAAAACAAATACTGAAAAATAATAAGTATCTTCTGTAGGTATTACAGTACAATAAGAACGGAAAAGAGCATAATTATTGAAATTAAGGATTTTAGTGTAACACATTACCCATATACACATTTATAGAAAATTTCAAATTTGCATAACATTTATTACTTAATTGAATATTAATGTTTTAGTATCATTTAAATTCTATGTATTGTCTTTTCATATATCTACTTTAATTACTTCTGGCAAACTTTATAGTAAACGTGTAGAGAAATTGAGTCCTAATTTAAATATTGTTGATTATGCATTGTGGTATTAAATGGCAGATCAAAATACTCTATAAATTTGAATAATACATTTTAGACCCAAATTTCACTACACACACCAAATTTTTTTGTAGATATATCGAGTAATTATTTTAAAAAGCACATGCAGAATTATCCACATTACAACATACATTTTGCAAACCAACAAATTCACATACTTGAATTTTTCTGACTGCTAGATAAACCCATTTTTACATAAATTTACATAATTATTTTGAACATAAATGCCATGAATAATCAGCGATTTGAGTACATAGCATTCCTTAATGATATAATAGCTTTGCAATGATATATCATACTCTAAGAATAAATATATCACAACTGTATCAACTGTTTTAGAATTAGACCTTGCAAATATTACTAGATATCGGTATTATGTCACTTTGCTTGTTAAATAAGAATTAACCTTATTCAATTAATTTAAGCTTTGGTATCACAAACTTAACGGTTCACATGATTTTCTTTAAACTAAGGTTTACAAGAAACTAGAAAATATAATACAGGATTAAGACAGTTTTACATTATTATTTATAGTTATTGTGTGGTTAGCATAGAGAATACTGAAAATTTAGTACTCAAAATAGCAAAAGTTTACAAAATATTCGATTTTTGTGAATATTTGTATATATATATATATATATATATATATATATATATATGTTGTGTTAATAATAGTCAGCAAAGACCATTACAATATGAATATCAAAAAAGATAAAAAATATAATTTTAAATAAAATTGTAAATTACTTCAATTTCAATATCAATGATTAACATGGTTATATTTCGTGACATTTTATCTACAACATATATCTGAGAAAACCAGAATATATATTTTTAATTTTTTTCATAATTTATTATTTAACAACAGTATACATAGTATAACACGATAAATATTTTTATTAATATATATTTTCAAATATTTTATTAATTGAATTATTGAAACTCTTCATTCAGTTACGCAATTGAGTATTATTTAAATTAATGCTATCAAAACAGTAGAATTAATATTAATTCAAAAAGTACATATATACATACAATAGTTTGAGTAAATTACACACTATTATAGATTTAAATATATTACATACATGTAAAGACTAATTTTTTGAATGAATGTATAGATAGCAGTTTAAGCTTTAGCTTTGACACAGATATTTTGACTTATAAAAAAGGTTAATTTCAAAATTATTGGCAATTATAATATAATTGCCTGTTAATTGAAATGAACTTAATATTACGTACTTATTAAAATAATTGCGATGAATGAAAAAAATATATAATTCAAATTGGAATAATTATTGATGCACTTATTTTTTTTAATATACAAAGTAAAATTGCTGATATATTTACTTTAAACGTTGTTACTTTAATATTATTTTACACATTTACTATAGTTAAAATAAAATTAATACTATTACTGTACATTTATAGCTCATAATTCATTAAATAATTTTTTAATATTTTAATACCAATAATAAAATAAATGGCACTTAACATACATGCACTCGTTTGCGGCATTTATAAAATAAATTCAGTTTTAGTAGCAATCTAGAAAACGTGAACATTATATTATTTCACAATCAAAAACTATGCAATATATGCTTATATTACAAAATAAATGACTTAAAATGCGTTTATAAATATTTGTTCACAATTAAAAGATTCTAAAATAACTTAATTAGACTTTGTTACATTATGCTTCATAATATTTTTTTTACATGACTGAAAACGATGCTGACAGTAATCATATAGATAACAGGTAAAACAATATCTGCTCCAATATTACTACTAAATAACACTTGCATTTGCTTGCAATTTCTTTCAAGATGGTTTCAAGTACTTTTTATCTTCGTGTTACGAAAATCAAATATTAAACATTTTATGGCAGAGGAACCGTAACTTGTACATACGTAACAGGAAAGTAGCCAGTGCGTCCATTCACAGAGCCTTCAAACCAGTTCTCATCGACTTTGTTCAACAGCATTATTACATCGTTTTCCTAAAATAACATTCTTATATAAATATATACTCCAATTATATAATGGTAACTGGTTATCAAATTTACTGGTACTGCTAATTAAATTCTTTTAATGGGACCTTTCAAGTACTCATACTAACTCTAAATATAATAAATGAGCAAGGCCTTTAATACACGAATAATCTTCTACTTGTTTTCTGAAAGTGGATCAATATCGGCTGATATTGCTAATATTTATAATAATGATGCAAAATACTTGATAAAATATTTCCTCGTCAAAATTGTATTTTTTCTTTCTCAAATAAGTTTTAGAACATTCAAAGGTGATAGATCAATTTTCTTAAACACTATTTGATTTCTATTACGAATTTTCATATTCATACTGATATCTTTCTAATTCTTGTGCTTGAAGGTTGTATTCCTAGTTGACAATATATTGCAATATAAAACCAATAACAGAGAAAAATATAGTTTTCTATCTTCTTATTGAGAGAAGTAGCTTCAATTTTACATCATCTTCATCTAATTTCCGGATTTGTTTTCGTTAACTCTTTTTGGTCTTCAGAAAACCGAAAGAGTAGAATGGTGAAGCATTTAATTTATTTATTACTGCATATTCTATTTTTTGAACTAGAATAAAAATTAGTTCATTTTGAACTAGATATCTAGTCCAATGCCCAACTGATCTAAATGTTTTATATTTTCCTAGATGCTCGAAACGCGAATAATCTGCATTGTTCACTATTATATGCCTATTGAAGATTTAAAGAATAGAATAGCTATGTACGCTCAAGATTTCACGCCAGCCT